AGCACCGATCTGTAGCGTCCGAACCAGATCCGTAGCCGAAGTCGGGATCGCAACCGTTTCCTCTATGGGTGAAGCTCGTTCCTCGCCCTGCTCCATAGGCCGCTCCAACTCGAAGTCGTCAGCCGCCTTGGTTTTTCCCTTCAGAGCGGCAACATAACACTTGCGGGACTCAAGTTGGTCGCCCCGCGCTACCCCCACACCAAAGTCTATAGGGAACTTCATTGCCAGATAGTAGGTGGAGACCACTGCCCGCAGAACATGCGTAATTGGCCGCCCTATTATGGCATTGTATGGGGAGGGGGTCGCGACCACCAGAAAATCGTGGCTGAGTCTGACCACACAAGGCCATGTGCCGACTTCCACAGGTACTGTTATCTTCCCGAGGGGCCTGACTTCCTCTCCGCTGAAGCCCACCAGAGGAGTGTTTGTAGGCTTCAGCTCGCTTCTCTGCAACTATAGCTGGTCAAATGCTGACTTGAAGAGGATGTCCGCCGAACTACCTGAATCCACAAATACGCGCTTGACTTCGAAGTCGTTGATCCTTAGTTTTATGACAAGCGCGTCATCGTGGGGGTAGTGGACACCTCGCGCATCGTCTTCCGTGAAGAAGATCGGTTCTTCTGTCTTTGGCCTCTTTGGAGGGTCCTGTTCTTCTCGGGCTGCCTTGCGAACTGACGTTCGGGCTGTTGCCGAAGTACACCCTGCCACCACCGAACCTCCCACTATTACATGGATGGTTCCCCGAACTGGCCTCTCTTCCGGAGGTTGCCGTTGCAACGCTTCAACTGGTCTACTACTGGATTCGGGGGCATCCTTTCCGTGCTCCCCTTGCCGACCTGCCTTATTGTTACTATTATTATTATGCTGTACAAAATTTCTCAAGTACCCGCGACGGATGAGTCACTCTATCTCGTCCCGGAGATTATTACACTGTTCGATACTATGACCGTGATCTCTATGAAAACTACAGTACAAATTTTTATTTCTCTCGTTTGGATTCCCCTTTAGGCGAGGCGACCACTTTACGTATGGGGCGTCTTTGATTGTCATCAAGATTTCGGTCCGCCTCGTGTTTAACGGTGTGTAATCTGTCCGAACTGCTAAGGGAGCTCGGGATGGCTGGCTTGGCTTCGCCTCTCGGGCCAGGTTTCTCCTGTCACCTTGGTTGGAGGGCTCACCTTCTCTTTTCCTTTTCTCGACCCCGCCTTCGGTCCTTTGGTTGATCTCTTCCTCTGTTCTCATGAACTTGTCCGCGAGCTTGAGGAATTCGGCCACGGTCGCGGGCTGGCTGGCTACCATGTGCCATTT